AAGTGAAATTGGTTAGTGACGGGTAGTTGACAGCCACCATTCTCCCTTTGACCTTGAACTTTTTGTTGGTTGCCAACCCCCAAATTTGTCATATTGTTAAATTTAAACCCCAATGGAAATTTTTTTTTGTATTTAAGTACCTATGAACGTTTTTCATTATGCTCAAAAACACACAAGAAGATGGTGGTGAAGGTATATGGTTCAATTAGGGCAGCTTGCCCACAGAGAGTATTGGCTTGCCTTTTGGAATTTGGGGTTGACTTCGAGCTTATAAATGTTGACCTCGACTCCAACGAGCATAAACAACCTGAATTTCTACAAAAACAGGTAAATGTTGTTCACGGTTAACGCGAAATAGTTATCTTTAATCTTTTGTGTGAATTGATGAAGAGCTTTCTTGTAGCCTTTCGGACAAGTCCCAGTTATTGAAGATGGCGATTTTCGGCTTTTTGGTAATGAGATATGATGTTTTTACTTATAGTATAGTTCACTGTTACCAATGGGTCAATGGCCCAGTATCCGAGTTACTCGTAGATCCTAACTTCCTTGGAGGTCAAGGGTTCAAAGTTCATCAAAGGCGACGTTGTGTGTGAGTTTTGTTGCATATAAATATTATATACTTCTGAAATATAATCCACTTTTAACCAACTTGTGTAGAATCTAGGGCAATCATGAGGTATTATGCAAGAAAATACGCCGATAGAAATCCAAAACTCTATGGAACGACTCTAGATGAGAAAGCGTTGGTTGACCAATGGCTAGAAGTCGAAGCACATCACTTCAACGACATGGTTTACACGATCGTTCTTCAAAAACTCGTCATCCCAAAGATGGGAGGGAAACCCGACTTAGCCCTAGTACAGAATTGCGAAAAAAAGCTTGAGAAAGTGTTTGATATATACGAACAACAACTTTCAAAGAATAGGTACCTAGCCGGAGATTGTTTCACACTAGCCGATCTGAGCCACCTTCCCGGGATTCGGTATCTGATAAATGAAGCTGAATTAGGACACATGGTGAAAGAGAAGAAGAACGTGAATTCGTGGTGGTGCGACATTTCGAACCGAGTTGCTTGGAAAAAAGTCATGCAACTAATGGAGTGAGTTAGTTGGATTGAATTCGGAGTTTCTGTATTTGCAAACAAAAAATAAATCGAACATTTCAAGTTTACAACTCATTAGTGAAGTTATGTTGGATATATATTCTATATTATAAAACGTTCAGTATAAACTCTTAAAAACAACTCATTAAGCGTTATGTTTTCGCTCATTAATTTATAATCTCCTAAAATTGATGTTTACAGCTTATTATTAAATATGTATGTGCATACAGCTTATAAAAAAAACTTCATGCTTGAACTCCATAAACACATTCATATATAGGTGAGGCTCAAAACGATAAGGCTCAAAATAGATGAGGCTTGCAAACGGACATTTTAAAGATATTTAATCATAACATTACATAATATAACTAAAAGAAATCACTAATGATATAATATGTTAATTAATAGAACTACTATTTGACATATATAGACTTAAGATCAAGTGAGATCTATGAGAACATTTTTTTTACATTTGAAACTTCACAGCAAAACATTGTGAAGGTAACCTTCACGGTGTTTTTGTTGTGAAGGTTTAGATTTTTTTCACCTTTGCAATATTTTGTTGTGAAGTTTCAAATGTAAAAATGTGGTCTCACGAAAACAGGATGGTCTTACATGAACCTAACCTATATATAGGGTTGGATTCACATGAGACCAACATGTTTTAAAATTTTGAAAGTTTAAAAAATATAAAAAATAAAATATAAATTTGAAGATATCATAAAAATTTAAAATATATATATCAATGTTAATATCAAATCAACTATTTAAAAGTTTTTTTATGTAATTTCTCTAATTTTTTTTATATAATTTAATTTAAGTTTAATAATGAAATAATTTATTTTTGGTTTAATAATATAACATTTTATAAAGATAATAATTAAACATTCTGTTAGAACTCAATAATAATTGAAACGCCCCAGCCCACACATTGCATGTAATATATATTTCATACCAAAGAAATACATATTCATATACATTCGGNTTTATAACATAATACTTTTATAATATATATTGTATATTTATTATATATATACACGATAAGTTAATCAATTTAAAAATGTGAGAAGTTTCAATATCACATATGATTACACTCTTTTGGGYGTGTTTAATCATATATGATAAACATGTGTATCATGTGTGTAATTATGTATGATATTGAAACTTCTTGCAAATTGACCACATTCTCGTTTGAACACGACCTTATATATAATATTATATATAGAGAGGGAGGTTCATTTAAACCTTAAAAAAATTAGGAACTTTGGAACCATGGTTTTTATGAGTATTCATGATGAATAACATGATAAAATATTCATGAGGAATGTCGTGACAAATATTTATGATGAATTATATTTATCATGTATATTCACAAAATAGGAGGTTCATAGGTTCCTAATATATTTAAGATTTTTGAATGAACTTGCACCTATATAAATAAAGGGAGAAGTTCAAAAAACTCCAACTAACTATCCCATTTTGAATGATTAAGTTCTTGAACTATTTTTTTGAATGAAAAAACCATTAAACTTTCTCATTTTGAAGGATTAATTCCCTGAATTATTTTTTTGAATGAAAAAACAATTAAACTTTCTCATTTTGATTGATTAAGTGCCTGAATTTTTTTTTAATAGATAAACCGTTGCACTTTTAAAAATTGGTTACTTACATTCTTTTAACCCAAAAAAAGTTACATTAACCAACTTATAAAAGTTCGATGGTTTATTTAWTTWWAAAAAARATTCAGGGTCTTAATCATTCAAAATGTGAAAGTTTAATGGGTTTTCCATTCAAAAAAATAGTTCACGGACTTAAATCATTTAAAATGAAAAAGTTTAATGGTTTTTTCATTCAAAAAAATAGTTGAAGGACTAAATCATTCAAAATGAGAAAGTTTGTTGGGTTTTTTTGAACTTTTCTCATAAATAAATACATATACAACATCATAAGAGGCTAATATAGTAATTTTTATAATATATAAATTTGCACACCCTAAAAACCATGGTTGTGACTACTAACCATAACCATAAAAAAAATCCAAATCACTAATACAACACTGCAACAAAAGTCTAACTATTGGCTAAATGCCCTTACTGAAGTTCCAAACAATAACATTAAGACATAAAATTATAATTGAAAGAAATTGTTTTCATGTTTTCTTGAACCTCCTCTWTTTTTTCGAGCYATCTGTTATTGCATCTTCTATGAGTTGCATACTAAAAGTCACCTTTTGTCTAGTGAGTTCACGATTTTCTTTAGATGCTTAATGAAAATAAGTAAACTTAGAACAAAAATTAGGTTTCATTYGTGTGATAGAAAATTGTAGTAAACATACCAACCTTTCGAGGGACGTATCATACGCTTTATTTYGACAAATGAGCGATTTACTATGAATTTTACAAACAACATGAGCTTTTTTGGTTCTCACATAAATATAAAGGTTGCATCTTTGCTTAATACCATGGCCTTAAGGCATCTTCCTCAAATCCATTATGTGATTAAACACTAARACAACATTTTAGAACACTTTTTCATCAATAAGGCGAGATATAACATGATTCATACCTTGATTTGAGGTTGAACAACCCCTTACACTTGAAAAACTCCAACTACGATCTTTTGTTGCTCTTGCCTTCAATACTCTTCCAAACTCTTGGTTTTCTTTTGGATTTATGTAATTTAAGTCCTCCTCCTTGGGCTGAGTCTCTCTTCGCGTTGGAAAAACGCTCGAGGCCCGATTTTGTTTTTTAAGACCTTGGTTAGAGGGAATATTTCCTAGGTTGTACATTCCTAGAATATACAAATGCAACTACAAGACTACACATATGTTTTGTAGATGTTACAACACTCCCCTCTATCATACCCGGCTGCTGGCAAGAAAATCTAACGATTTGTGAGTAGTCCTTAGTAAAAATTTCAGCCACTTGCTCTCCACTAGCCACTAAGAATATGTTTCATATAAAACGGTCCTTTATCTATTCTCTCTGTAATGAAATGTGTGTCAAYCTCCACACATTTGGTGCGACCATAAAAGACTACATGGATTGTTTTCTTATTTTACAATATAACTTCTTATAAGATGAACATCCTCCCTCTCAAAAGAAGGTTATTTTCAACTATAGAAAAAGAAAAAAGATATACTCCTCCTRATCCACATGTACCATGAGGCATGAGCTATAACTCTTAAGTTCTGCCTCAACACCACATTATCTTTTTTGCTTCTCCATGTAATCAAGTTGTGGTCTACAAATGAACAATTCCATAAGTGGATCTTCTGTCTACTGAGCTTCCAGCCCAATTACATATCTTTACGCTGCAATTTGTGAATGTCATTGGCTATGTTGTTATTGCGCCGCTATAGGCGGTCGTATAGCGGTTGGCGGTCCTTAKGAGAATAGTGGTGCAAAATAGCGGTATGAAATCTTGATGCCATATTTAGCTTGTTAATGCTTAATTTGATAAGAGTTGTTACTTGTTAATATTAATTCCAATCTCAAAGTTGAGCCGTCATTTAGGATTATGTTCATGCAGTTGTGGAGATTTKATGGTATGGCAAGATTACCAAGCACAAGTCATAAGATGATACAAATGAAAAGAATTCAAAATGAAAGGGAAAGAGTGGTTACTTTGTCCAAACGCCGAACWACTTATTCAAGATTGCCAATCAGCTACCCACGCTATGTCGTGTACTGGTTGCAATCATTCACTTTTCCATCAGCGGAAAACCTCTCTTTTGGCAGCCCCAACGTTCAATCTATTGTAAACAAAATTTTCAACTCAAATCAAGTCGACCGACGACTAGATGATTTCATCACAAGGTCTGTCAACTCTAACCATGAATCCAAACTCCAGGATTTCAACAAAGAATTTAATGAAGTGAATGAGCAATTGGTAAATGAGAAGAAGCAAGGACAAATGCTTGATGAATATATAAAAAAGGTAATTGGAAGGAAAACATACAAGGAATATGGGCCATTTGTGGGTATTGTGGACCCATGCAAATAAAATTCAAAATGGAAGAGTTGCAAAGAAACAAAGAATGTACTCTCGATGCAGTGTGTGGGTCTTCCTCCTTAAATGATGAGAAACATCTATCCAAAATTGTGGTGCCAAAATATTACTTGAAGTTGTAATAGTAAGAAAGAAGAATTATCTTCTAATTTCTATGTTGTGATAAAAATAGTAAAGCATAATGATAATGATCAAAATTTTATGAGTTAAGAGTTCTATGCTTTTTGTTTTTCAATATTTTAAGGTCAATTTCTCTGTTGATTCATGCATATGTAACAACATCAAATAACGTTGAAGCAGTTTATCATCTATAGCAGCATGATCCTTTTAGCAAGTTTATCCCACCAGGACGTAGTAGGGTCTAAGGAGGGTATGATGTATGCAGACCAACCTCTACCCCTAGGGATAGAGGTTGTTTCCATGAAGACMCCGACTTATGAAACATTGCTCTTCTTGTTCTATACATTGATAAAGTCCTCTTTCTCTAACTTTATTTTCTTTTCTCAATATCTTCYAGGAAGAATATGAAGCCTTGTTTTTGGCAACTTTTGAACAACCATTTAAAATTGATATCTATCTCATTGTGGTTTCTTTTCGGATGAATTTTCAATTTGGTAACCTACACAATGATGACAAGGAAAATCAATTTTGTGGATATCAATAAAGATTTGGGTTTTCTGTACTGTGGTAGACTAGACTACCAAATTCCTTGCGTTTTTTTATATGTGGTATAGCTTCTATCTTACTTTTATTTTCACATGGATCAATCTTAGGATTTAATCATTATTTTTGYTATGTGTTTTGTTTTCTTGAAATCCTAAMACCTTGTTTTCTTGTCAACCAAATTTTCCCGAACGTTAATTTGTACATATCTTTACGCTGCAATTTGTGAATGTCATTGGCTATGTTGTTATTGCGCCGCTATAGGCGGTCGTATAGCGGTTGGCGGTCCTTAGGAGAATAGTGGTGCAAAATAGCGGTATGAAATCTTGATGCCATATTTAGCTTGTTAATCCTTAATTTGATAAGAGTTTTTACTTGTTAATATTAATTCCAATCTCAAAGTTGAGCCGTCATTTAGGATTATGTTCATGCAGTTGTGGAGATTTGATGGTATGGCAAGATTATCAAGTACAAGTCATAAGATGATACAAATGAAAAGAATTCAAAATGAAAGGGAAAGAGTGGTTACCTTGTCCAAACGCCGAACAACTTATTCAAGATTGCCAATCAGCTACCCATGCTATGTCGTGTACTGGTTGCAATCATTCACTTTTCCATCAGCGGAAAACCTCTCTTTTGGCAGCCTCAAC